CCCCTGCCCTAACACTTGACTAACTTGACTAGGAGCCCCTAGAAGCGTCCTTGCTCCTAGTACCCAATAGGAAAGGCCTCAAACGCTACCTTTCGGTCTGAGGAGGAAGCGGAGAAAAACTTCAAGGCTGTCGCAGAGGCCGGACGACTCATGGTGGTCAGATGCTCCATGTATACTGTACTGTCTCTGGCTTTTAGTTTTGTTTCGCTCGGGCCTATGAAGGTCCCATCAAGACGAAAGGAAAAAGGAATAGGCCTAGAGAAATAAATGATAAAACTTTAGGAAACGAATTTTAAAGAAGAACCTATTAGAAGCTACTAGGAACAAGTGCATCGCTACTAGAGCAAGGGCCTTACTAGTAGTAACAAGGATGCTAGTAGAGACAATAAAGGAAAAAGAGTTCATGGATTGAACCGTGAGGCTTGAATCTCTGCTCAGGCCTATGAAGTCCTATCAAGCCCTGAGAAGAGGGCGGCGTATGATCGGGGTGGGAAGGATGCGACTTGGCCGTTGATCGAAACCTTTGGAAAGAACGAAGAATGATTTCGGAAAAGAAAACGAAGGAAGAGACAATAATAATCTATAGATCTCTAATTAGAAACAATAAGCTACTAGTAACAAGTGCATCGCTTCTAGTAACAAGTGCGTAACAAGAAGCTACTAGTAACAAGAAAGATTTCGGAGCCAGAAAAACGATTTCGGAAGAGACAAAGAAAGAAGAAGGAAGACAGAAGACTGAATATGTAGCAAAAACAGACATTGTGTAGTGAACAAGGCATCATGAAGCTGCATCCTTGCAGTTCTGCCATGATTGCTGAAGATTGTTTCTGAGGCCCTTAATGGTGGTCATGGATACTCACACGCGGACTTTGGCTGAGCGCCCAGTTGAGAGGATCTTTTAATCACCACATACACTTGTGTTGCTCTTTTGATTGAAAAATAGTTTGAAGGACTATTTACAGCCTTCGGCATGCCGCCGGCCATCAGCTCGAGCCCGCACGGCTGGTCGCCATGGCCCGGGCGTGTGTAGCTGTGTGTAGCTATTGTGTTTTTTTGTGTGCAGGTTATGCAAAGGTTAGCTAACAGAGTGTACGATATCAAAGTGCGTGAAAACAAGGGGTTTGTGCGCGACAGGACTTGGAACATGCACGCTGGCTGGAGACGTTTGTGTCAATGAGGTGCGGCGTCAAAACGAAGTAGTGTAAGAGCCATGTAAGTGGAGAGCAACTGGCCAAAAACAAAAGCTGCGCTGGTGTTACAGCGAGTGGGCAGCGAACAGTACTTGCAGAGAGCGCGTGTGTAACACAGAGCTTCTGCAAAAGCGACATGTAAGCGAAAAAAAGTAGCGAGGAAATGGTTGCAAGGGGCTTGTGCGCGACATGCCTTGGAAGGTGCACAGGTTGCGGTGTCAGAGCGAAGTCGTGTAAGAGCCATTGCCTAGAATAACGCCGTGACAGCATAAGCGATATAGCACCCAATTGGCAGCGAGTTCCCGCAAAACGCGTGGAAAAACCAAGGTTTTTATACGTTTTTCTACACGCGCGACTGTGCGCCAATGCATGGCCTGCTTGAAAAAGACGAAGAGGGGGAAGAGAAGAGAAGGAGAACGAGAACGAAAAGAGAAGAGAAGCGAAGACCAGAGGCGAGACAAGGCGACAAGACAAGACAAGGCGAGAGGGCAGTAGGAGCGCCTCAACATTAAAAGACGAAAAATGAGTTGGGAAGATGATTTTCATTACTAAAAGTACGAGCACCTCAACATCAAAAGAAGAAAAATGAGTTGGGAAGATGGTTTTCATTACTAAAAGTAAGGCGGGGGGGGGAGGGGGTGAAAGAGTGACTAGGGCGTACACGGTAGAGGTGCAGACCGCTAGTGTCTTTTGCTCACGCAGAGTCTTATCCTATATCTCTTGAGCCTTATGGCAGTCAAGCATGGACACACTAGATAGGCCACTGGAGTGGAACCTGTACAAGTATGCCTATACATTTCAACAGGCACAAAATTCATGTCCACTCCTGCCTATTGCGTATGTCGCATACTCTTTTTCTACCGCAAGGCTAAAGCAGTCCAGCAGCTCTAATGCTTAAAAGGAAACCACGGTGCCTTGTATTTACCAATTCTAGTATGTTTCATACTATAGAAAAGGTAATCTCAAGGTCTACTAAATACAGTGAGGGAGCAATAGCTGACTCACCTCAACTACAAGGTCAACGACGATGTATCTCGGCTGGAGACTGTATTGTTCAACCGGCGAAGATACCGTATACCGGCGCTCAATAGCCCTTAAAAAGCTAGAGCTTAAAAGAAACTTAAATTCAAGGGAAAGCGGCTTTCTTACACAGAGACCTGTAAAAGCAGTAAACGACACTCGCGTAACGAAGAACTAAAAATTCAAGACCGCGCAAACTGCAACGAATTAAGATGCCTTGCAAAATGCAAGGAGCGTCAACTCTCGGTCCGAGGATTGTTCTTCTCTACAAGTGGTCTCGGCCGCTTCCATACACTGCATCAAAAGGACTCTTACTCATTGACACCAAAAACAAAAAGGAAGGAGACACCGGCAAATGTATGTACAAAACTTGCACTACAAATGCAAACTTATGAAATGACTTAATCCTCAACCATGAATGGTTGTCCATTAGAGGTCACTTCAGAAAAAGCGGCTGTGATAGATATCATCAGTTATACAAAACTGTCCATACCTATCTGCATGCTAAAGCGTATAAACCTGGAATGCAGGAGTTTCTTCTTTGACAAAAAGTTTCTCCTTGTTGCAAACCAGAATCCATTAAAACTTTAGCCTGGCAACTTAAAGTCAAGCTTGGAAGCAAAGTATCAACTGTGATCAGAAGTATCTTCACTTCCTAGCCATCGTTAAAAGTTAGCTTCCGCTTTGAGTTTCATGCCGCTGCAGTCGATGAAGCTGCTTGATCAGAAGTTGGCGGCCTTCCCTTCTTTTTATTCTCTTTCTGTCTCTCCTTCCTCCGCAGTTTCGCCTCATGAAGAGTTGCTCCCATGCGATACTGTCTTCTGTCTCCAGATGAAGAGGAAGCTGGTCTGAGTGAAATAAACATTGGACCATGACTGTCCTCGTCAGTGGGCCTTGAGCACATAACCTCCGTGTCAATCATAGCAAAGTTCTCTGAAAAATTACAGATGAACTCCTTCGTGCTCACTGTGGAATTTTCATATTCCTCTTCACTCATCGAATGACCCCATTCAACAATGGTAGACAAACATGTATCTCCAAGCTGTGATCCC